GGCCCCTTAGGGCCCCCTTGGGGGCCCCTTGGGGATCCCTTTTCAAGGGAGTTCCTGAGGGGCCTGTTAGTGGAAATTGCTAAAGGAGGGCCCCAAGAGGGGCCCCCGTAGAGGGGCCCCCTAAGAGGGGCCCCTAGAGGGGTTCATTAAGAGGACCCATATGAAGTTGGGCCCTACGGGGAATCTTCAGAGGGGCCCCAAAGGGGCCCCCTGGTGTCCCTTAAAGGGGCCCCAGAAGGGCCCTTTAGAGGGGCCCCCTTAGAGAAAACTTCTAAGTCTTTGAGGGTCTCCGTAGAGGGCCCCTAGAGGGGCCCCTTAGAGGGGCCCCTTATCCGAGGGGCCCCTCTAGGGGCCCCTCTAAGGCGCCCCTAGAGGGGCCCCTTATAGGGGCCCCTTGGAAAGCCACACAGGGCCCAGCAATAAGGACCCCAAGGGGTGACTCCCGAGGGGGCCCCCTTAGGGGGCTCCCCTAAGGGGCCCCCATAGGGGGCCCCCATAGGGGGCCCCATGGGCCTTGGAGGGGCCTTGGGAGGGAATAGGGGGAAGGGTTTAGGGGTTTGTGTAGGGTTGCAGCTCAAGCAGCAGCAGCAAGAGAGGTCACTTTAGCTGTCAGTTGCTGCTGCTCTCTTTACGATTTGTTCAGCTGCTGCTGCTGATGCGCGCCGCGCTGCAGCAGCTGCTGCTGCTGCTGTGGGGCCCTCTTTTGCTGCAGCGCAGAAGCGCCAAATGCACATACAAACATTCCCCTGTATAAATACCGCCACAAGCCTGGAGCCGTCAAGTGCAGCTTGAGATAAATATTATAATTACACATTATTTACTATTTTCTATTTACTATTGATTAATTAATTAATTAATTTATTATTTATTATTTCCCATTTATTATTAATTAATTAATTGATTAATTGATTATTTATTTATTTATGTATTTATTTACTTGGAGTCTACAGCCGCGACAAATGCACTTCGCCAGTCAGTTCAGGTTTGTGCCTCTGCAGGCAATAATATCCTCAACAAATGTATATTTTGAGTTTTACAATTCAAATATTTATATTTTACTTTTAAATATTTGGTTTTAAAATGTTTTAAAATGATTAATTTGCGTTTCTGCGTCTTCAACTCATGCAGTGCATGCGCCCAGGAGCTGTACATACACCCCAGCAGTCACGCAGCCGTCGAGTGGACCTCCCCGATCTTTTATTTTTATTTTCATTTTCTTTTATTTATTCTTATTTTCATTTTAATTTGTGTTTTAAATTAATTTTAAATGTTTTAATGGTTTATTTTTCTAAATTAATTGCTGGAAGCTGCTGCGCGGAGTTCTGGGTTATTTGCACAATTATTCTCTTTTAATAATTGCATATTTGCACACTTAGAATACTTTTTCTTTTAAATTATTTATTTATTTATTTATTTATTTTAATTTACTTATTTGGTCAAACTCTGGTGTATTTGTGGGACCTGCGCACCTCTTCTTCGGGTGTCTGTACAGCTCGCTAAACTGCAGTCAAAGCGCTCGAAATCTTTTTTTGAAATTTTAATTAAAACTTTATTTAAATTGGCATTATTTTAATTAAAACTTTATTAAAAATGGCATTATTTCAATTAAAACTTTATTTTTAAAATGGCATTATTTTAATTAAAACTTTATTTAAATTGGCTTTATTTTAATTAAAATTTTTTTTAAAATGGCATTAAAAGCGATTTGACATGAACGAGATCCTCTAGCTTTAATTATTCACTCTAAATGAAGAATGAAAAAAAATGAAATTAAAAACTTCGCAGACTTCAGCTGTACAGACAGCTGGAGGTGCCTTCAGCTGTCTGTACAGCTGGGGGGAGGCCCTAAAGGCGCATTTTCGGCAATCATTTTAAATCAAATTTCAAACCTTTTCCACTTTTTTCATGCGCTTTTTTCCATTTTAATTCTTTTTCTTCCACTTTCCACTAAGTCTAGACGGCCCCGCGCATGCAGCAGAAGCCGCAGGCTCTAGAAGACTCATTTTCGCAAATTCAGCAGCACACTGTGGCAGCTAGCAGCAGCAGCAACAGCAGCAGCTGCAGCAGCAGCGGCAGCCGCAGCAGCAGCAGCAACAGCAGCGCTAACAGCAGCCGCAGCAACAGCAGCAGCCGCAGCAGCGACGCAGCAGCAGCAGCCGCAGCAGCAGCCGCAGAAGCGGCAGCAGCAGCTGCAGCAGCAGTCGTAGCAGCAGCTGTAGCAGCTGCTGCGGCTGCTGCAGCAGCCGTAGCAGCAGCAGCAGCAGCAGCAGCATCAGCCACAGCAGCCGCAGCAGCAGCGGAAGAGGGTTAAAGAAGCTAGGGGGCCCTTGTAAAGCGCGAGTTCTTTGAGCTGCAGTTTGCCATTTTGAATAAAAAAATATTTGCGAAGCTGCAGCGCCAGCGCTGAGGTGTACGTACACCTGAGAGAGCTGCGGTGTACGTACACCCGAGAGCTGGCGCAGCGGGGTAGGCTGGAGGGGGCAGCTGAGGGGCCTCAAAGTGCTCCCATTTTATGAAAAGTGTTTATTTGCTTTGTTAAAATTTAAATAAATTAATAAATTAATTAAAAAAGAACAAAAAGGCGGCAGCTGCGGCAGCTGCTGCTGCGGCACTGCTGCAGCTGTCCAGTGGCCTACACCGCAGCAGACCGCTCGTTCGGCTGCGGTCCTCGGCAGCAGCTAAATGGCTCCTTTTTGAGCTTTTTTGAATTTATAAAATAAATTATTTAATTAATTATATTCAAAAAATGAAATGAATTCAAAAAAGCAGTAAAAGAAACCCCCGGAGGCAGCAGGGGCCCCTGCGCATCGGCGCTGGCGAGCCGGTGTGTCTGCAGCACAGCAAAGAGGCCCCCAGCAGCAGCAGCAGCAGCAGCAGCAGCAGCTGTCTTCGTTTGATTTCAATTAAAGTTTGTTTGGATTTATTATTGTTTTATGTTTAATACGTCAATTACACAGCGAGAATCGACGGGCCCCGCCTGCTGCAGCAGCACGCTGGGCAGCAGCAGCAGCCGATGCGCAGCAGCAGCCAACGCGACAGCAGCAGCAGCAGCACACATTGAAATCAGCTTCTGCCGGATCTCTAAGAAAGCCTCCTAATCTCAGAAAACCCAGCTGATCCCATTTATCTACTGCTGCTGCTGCTGCTGTTGCAGTTGCTGCTGCTGCTGGCAGCACTGCGCCTGCGGGGGCGCTCGGCGGGAGGCCCCAAGTTGAGGCCTTCTCGATGCCCCGAAGCAGCAGCAGCAGCAGACTTTTCCTTAGACGGAGACAGCGCAGTGGCTGCAGCAGCACCGGCTGCAGCAGCAGCAGCAGCGGCTGCAGCAGCAGCAGCAGCAGCAGCAGCAAACAGCTTCAATGTTTGGGCCTCAGGGAGAAGCACATCTGGGGCAGAGGGCCCCCCGGTCTCTCCCCTGGCTTCCCTTGCGGCTGCCTTCTCTTCCTTGCTTTCTTTTGCTGCTTCTGCTGAGTTGCTTCCCAGCAGCAGCAGCAACAGCAGCAGCAGCAGCCGCAGCAGCAGCAGCAGGAGCTAAGCAGCGTGGCCATTCCCCCGCAGTTTCGCTTTCTCTGTGGCCTCCGTTCCCGCTGCCTCCCGCCTCCTTCTCACAGCGCAGCACCCCAGCAGCAGCAGCAGCATCGGACCCCGCAGCAGCAGCAGCAGCATTCCCCGCAGCAGCAGCAGCAGACCCCGCAGCAGCAGCAGCAGCAGCAGCAGGAGAGGGCGAGTTGTCTGGAGGCGCGGCGAGCCGGCTGCCGTTGCTGCCGTGCGCGTCTGGGCCTTCGTTCTTATCTGCTGGGTCGCGCTCGGGCGCAGCAGCAGCAGCAGCAGCAGCAGCAGACCCAGCAGCAGCAGCAGCGCGCGTCTCGTACCGGGGAGGCCCGCTGCTGCCAGCAAGCTGCAGCCGCGCGGGCTGCAGGCTGGGCGCTGCTGCTGCTTTCTTCAGCCCCGAAAAGAAGTCTTGCTTCTCCATAACTTCCTGCTGCAGCTGCCAGCAGCACGAGGGGGGCCTCCCCCGCATCTGTTTGCTGCTGCAGCGCCCCAAGGCCTTTTTGTCTCTTCTCCAAAACGTTTTCATTCCGGGGGCCCCCCCAGCAGCATTTGCTTTTCGAAAAGCTTCCAAGGAGGAGATAGCCCGCACGATTCCGCAGCAGCAGCAGCTGGGGGCCCACAGGCCGGGGGCCCCTGCTGCTGCTGCTGCTGCTGCTGCGGGGCAGCAGCCCGCTGCTGCAGCGCCGGAGGCAGAGGAGGAGGAGTTCGCCGCAGAGGCGGAAGAGGAGTTCCAGGAAGAGTCCCAGGGGGGATTCCTCCAACTCACCAGCAGCAGCAGCAGCAGCAGCAGCAGCGGGGGGTTCAGCTTCCTGCAGACAATGCCGGGCTTCGACACCTACGAAGCAGATGAAGAGGAAACCTTTGTGGGGTCTGCTGAGGCCTCCAGCACAAGAAGAAGCAGCTGGGGGGCCCCTGGGGGGGCCCCCCGGGGGGCCCCCGCGGGGG